TGAGCCAACCCCTCCAAGGTTGTTACCTCTGTCATGTCAATTTCATAGGTAACTTTTACCTCCAGTAACTGACCACAATGCAGCTGTGCATCATACTACAGTAATGCAGTAACCATTCGGCTGAAGGTTCATCAACCTCCACCCCCATTCTTCTTTTCCCCAAACTATGCCTTCACCATGTTCCATTGAGTCAGGGGTATTTTACTAAATGCCACTGTTGAAGCCAAGTGTGTCTGGGGTTTCCCGAGACCATCGTAGATTCAATCATTTCCCAGCATTTCACAGACTTCAGAAATGCTGTCATATTCAAGGTTACTGTCTTAGTCGGCTTGGGATGATAGAACGAAATACCATAGAATGAGTGATATCAGAAGAAAAATCAGCGAACATGAGGACAAGTCAGCTGAGCTGACCCAGGCTGAGGAACAGAAACAAGAATGAAGAACAACGAGCAGAGATTCAGAAACTTGTGAGGGACCGTCAAGTAAACCGTATACCCCTAATGGGAGTCCTAGCAAAAGAAGAGAGATGCAAAGGACTAGAAGGAATATTTGCAGAAATATGGAAAACTGAATACACCTCAAATTTGGCCAAAAATGTTAATCTATACATCAAGGAAGCTCAGTGAACTCCAAGCAGGATAAAATCAGAGATCTACACCTACACGTCATAATCAAACCGTCAAAAGACAGAGAATTTTGAAAGCAGCAAAAATGATGGGAGAAACACCTCGTCATGAGCAAAGCATCTGTCCTCAATAACATTGACATCAGATTTCTACTCAGAAGCCATAGAGGCCAGAAAGCAGTGGGATGAGGATATCCCTCAGGAAGCGACTGGAGGATGTGACAAGCTTGGGAAAGGGCCTCCGGGCTCCAGCAACTGTCCAGTCAGGGTAAATGGGGAGCCCAGGAAACACCCTGTTACACTCCAACACCCAGATTTAAACCGGCCATGGCCAGGCCAGAGCCTAGGAATCTGGGCTGTGCTGTAAGCCGGGTGGGGACCCTGAGCTCCACGGGGAGAAGCCTGCACCAGAAGAGGTCCCGTCCAGGCATCCGTGAGCATTGATGAGAACCAGGGCACTTATGTGGGGTCTGGGTGTACATGTGATGGAATCCCTCTGCCTTGTGTGCAAGTGTGTCTGTGTTCATGTGAGTGGTGAGAGTGTGGCTGGCTTTGTGGATGTGTAGATTTCTGTGCGTGTGTGTGCATGTGTGAGCATCAGGGTAAGAGTCTGGGAATGGATGAGTGGTTTGTGTGTGATGAGGTGTGTCTGTGTGTCAAGTGTGTGGTGTGAGGTTCAAATGGAGAACCTCAGCCCCCTCTGTCTCCCTGCCACTCCCTGCAGGCGTGGTTCCTCTCATCATCAGGCAAGTGCCAATGACCTCCCAGGGGAAGGCCTCTCAGGAGGAGGCAGGTGTGATGGGGAAAGCAAGGACTTGTTCTGAGGACGAGGCTGTGACCACATTGGGGAGTGTGAGCCTAATGCGACAGGTGGGCGGCAGGATCAAATCGGACTCAGTAAGACTCTGGGGAGTCAGGCTGGGGGTGGGGACATCCTTCTCCTCCCCCAACCCCACAACCCAGATAAGCACCAGGAGAGGACAGATCAGGACTTCTCTGGCCACCCCTGCACTGACCTTCCCTGGCCCCTCCCTGCACCCTCTGGCAGCGCAGCCATGCCCACAGATAGACTCAGGGCAGAGGACAAAGGCCAGTCTCAGCTCCCTTTATACAGGGGCCCAGGCTGGTTGAGCCCTCAGGTTGGTGGGAGAGTCCTGCCTGGCTTGGTCCTAGTTGCCTGGTGACATGCGTGGTCCTTGGGGATGCTCACCCCTCTACCGCAGCAGCTTCACCAGAGCAGAAGCCCAGGGCGGTCGGGCTGAGTGTGTTTCCAAAACAATGAATCTCAGTAAGTTACACGTACAGCAGTAGCTCAGAGCCGGCGTTTTGAGATGGCCCCGAATACGGCTCTGTGACTTTGACCTCTTACGTAGCCCCTGAGACTCAGTCTCCTCCATGCCTTTGGGACCATAAAGCCACCTGCTGTACAGGGCTGAGGAGGACACGCAGAGTGAGCAGCAGTGCCTGGCACGCAAGTGCCTCATTAATGGGACCTGCAATTGCACTATGATTGCAAAGGCCGTTGGCCTCACGGTTGTTCTGTGTGCTCATTGTACTCATGAGGTTTCCTTACGGCCGCGCTGTCCTGACCCACAGGCCCCAAGTATCGGGGGGCCCAGCCTGAATTACAGGCATGTCGGGCTCTGCCCTTCATATCCACCTTAGGGCGACTGCTGGGGGAGAGTGTGACACATCCAATACAAGGGTGGCTGAGGACAGTTTAACCAGAGCCGCTGTGTGACCAACTGTCGGACCATCCTATCCACCTGCTAACACCACTTGATTCTCTGACAGTCCTGGAAAATAAGTAGGTGTCCACAGGACGGGACATTAAACTGAGTCCAATGAAAGGCCACAGGCTGGATCTGAGAAGTCCCCAGGGTGTCCGTGGGTCTTACCTTCCTGGTCTGTTGAGTGGCCTCAAAACTGGTCTCCCTGCCGACTGGAGGCCCAGAGACCCCAGTTACCACCAGGCCATCCTTTGACCAGACTTTCCAAGTGCCTCCCTCCCGCTGCCCCTCACCCCCTGCACAGGACTCTGCTGTGGCCCTGTTGTCCCACTGCCAGGTCACCTTCAATTGTGGTGCCAAGCCAGTCAAAGTCCTTCAGGAAGTCTTCCCAGAAAGTCCTGCTCCAGGCTGGGGCAGTGTCCCCATGACCCTCAGCGCAGTCCGCGCACTGCTGGCTTGGCCTGTCAGCTCTCTGCCAACCTGCTCCTCCCCTTGGCATGAGCATCTTGGAGCAGGGGCCCACCATTGTCTCCCGCCAGGCTGCGAGTGTCCCGCCAGCACCCAGCACGTGGGACGTCCAGCGGGGCTGGAACACAGTCCAAGGCCTGAGCAAGGAACGATGCAGGGAAGGCTGGGTAAACTGAGGAAGGCCCACTGGGCCCCAGCAGGCTACACCCTCAGGCCCTGGGCCATGCAGGAGAGTGGGGCTGCGGGCATTCAGAAGGGGAGGAGCAGCTTTCACAGGCCAAGCGGGAACTGCAAACGCTGAAAGCCAACAGCAAGAGGACATGGCCCCTGGAAGCCATCTCTGGATGGTCATCTCTGAATGGGGGATGTCCAGAGGCTCCCTGGGAAGAAGCTGGTCCTCTTATTGTTGGGGGGTAAGGGAGGGAGAAAACTGTGGGACATGGGGCTGGGGAGTTCCTCCTGCAGGCACTGCTTCATCTGGGTGACAGAATTCTCCAGATGTCTCCAGATTGAGAACTTGCCTCACATACACCAGGGATGGGGGAGGGGGCCTGACCCCCTGATCCCTACCCAGAAATGCCCCTTGTCCACCCTCTGGGCTCCTGCCCCTTCCCATCTGAGTGGGTTTTAGTCTCAAGGTTCCCATCAGCTTCACTGATTTAAAAACTCAGCCTCATACCCTCCTACTTTTCTTCTTGAAGAAGGAGGGTGCTGAGGCCAGTGGGCAGTGGCCCTGCCCTGGCATGGTGTGGCCACCCCTGCTTGGAGGCTGAGCAAGAGGCTGAGCAAGAGGGAGCACCTGTTATCCATAATTCCAGCCAGACAGTTGCAGGCCCTGGAGCGGGGTGATGCACAGATTTGCCTCTTTCCTGGAGGGACCTCAGAGTCACAGTGGGAGTGAACCTGGCCCAGGGAGACGGAGGAGGCCGGTAACGGGGGAGGCCCAGGAATCCATTCCGTGTGGCCCTCAGCAGGCCTGTGCGGGTGGAAAGAAATTCCTTGCTTTCCATCCCCTTGTCTTCCGGAAAGAGTTTGAGCAGCTGATGTTCAAGGACAAATGACACTGAGGAGGAAGCAGGCCCACTCCTCTGGGGACAGAGTCACATCCTATGCTAAGCCATCCTAGTACCTTGAGCTTCCTGGCAGCTCAGTCTACGAGGGCGAGTGCCCTCCCCACATCTCTGTGAGTCAGGAAAGTGGACACAGGCAGGAGGAGACTCAGCACCTGAGTGGCCTCGAGAGATAGGAGGTCCAAGGACCAGCCTGTATCCAACTTAGGAAGGGTCTCCTGGCCTCTGAACTGGTGGGTTGGGTGACTAGGGAGCTCTGAAAACAACCCTGCTGCCTCCCCACCCCCAGATTCAAACGTGTGATGGCCACGACGACGGGGAACCCGAGGAGCTGAGCCAACCCCCAGCCGGGTGAGGGTCTCACTGATACCAACCTCCATGCAGGGAGAGGAGGGAGCCCAGGGGATCAGTTCCAGGCAACCACTGAGGACAGGTGCCCTGGTGATCGGTTTATGTGTGTGTGTGTGTGTGTGTGTGTATAAGTGGTACATGTATTACAGTGTGTGTGTGTAGTTTGCTGGGTGTGAAAATGTGTGTGTCATGTGCTTTGTCAGTATGTGAGCAGGTGGGTTGTGTCAGAATGTGTGAGTGCTTTGTGAGTGTGTGGTCTGTGTCTGTGTGTACTGAGTGTGCTAGCGTGAGGTCAGGGACACGGAGAACTTCATTCCCCCTATGCTCCCTGTGGTCCCTCTGATCATGTGAGCTCCCCACAGCCAGGGACAGTACAGACCTGGGGGGTGAAGGTCACTCAGGAGGAGGCAGGTGAGATACGGGGAGGTGAGGATGTCTTCTGGGGATGAGGCTGTGACATCATTGGGGAGGGTGAGGCTAATGTGACAGGTGGGTGGCAGGATCAAGTCCAAAGACCCCTGCTTCTTCCTACACAATGCTGAGGAGTCAGGCTGGTAGTGGGGACACACTGTCTCTCCCCAACCCCACCGAGGGTAAGCACACGGAGAGGACAGCAGGGACAGACCCACTGTGCCACCCCTGCACTGACCTTCCCTGGCTCCTCCCTGCACCATCTGGCAGCATGGTCATGTCAACAGGTAGGCTCAGAGCAGAGGGCAAAGGCCAGTCTCAGCTCCCTTTATAAAGGGCCCAGGCTGGTCACACCCTCAGGGATGGTGACAGTGACCTGCCTGGGCTGGTCCTGGTGCCTGGTGTGGTGAGGGGCCCCAGTGTATCCAGAGGAGCCCAGTGTGCACTGAGGCAGCCATGGGGCTGCTGACCTGGGATAAACTGGGGCCTGTGGCTGTGGCCGTGGCCATCTTCCTGCTCCTGGTGGACCTGATGCACCGGCGCCAACGCTGGGCCCCACGCTACCCCCCAGGCCCCATGCCCCTGCCTGGGCTGGGCAACCTGCTGCAGGTGGACTTCCAGGACACGGTTTCCAGCTTTACTCGGGTGAGGAAGGTCGAGGTGGGCACAGAGGTGCTGAGGACCATACATTTCAGCAGACAGTGGGTGGTGGTGAAGCCACAGGCTGGACAAGGAGTCGGTGGAAAGGAGGAGGCAGGTGTGAGAGGCCTCCTGGGGGAGGGCAGCTGGGCAGGGCCTGGGGGACAGTTTGAATTTCCCATCAAAGGTCAGAGAGGGCAAAGGCCTGGAGGGGGTGGGCCTTGGCAGAGCGTTTGGGATGCAGTGGGACAGAGCTTCACTTCTGTGAGCCTGAGTCCCTTCTGATGACATCAGGAGGAAAGGTCCTGAGATTGTGCGAGAGGAATCTGGTCATGAGCCCCAATGAATTCAGGAAATTGAGGTTGGGAGGGGACAGTGAGCAGGCTCAAAGCTTTTGCTGCTATGAGACCTTGGCCACCACTGACCTTTGTGAATGTCACTTTTTTCACCTATGAAACGAGATGGTAGCTTAGCCCACCCGACAATGTTGGTGACCTCTGTAAAGTCGTGGCTAGGTGGTCGGATACTTCGTGATGTCCTTCACCATACAGGTTGTGATCCCTAGTGTCACAAGGCCAGGTAAATTCCTGGCACCCCACCGCTGCTGCGGCTCGGGGATTCCCCAAGACTAGAGCCAGGAGACTGCGTCTCAAAGCTTAGGGTGGGGCGGGACTTCTCCAACGCCCTTGACCCTGGCCTGCAGCTGCGGCGCCGCTTCGGGGACGTGTTCAGCCTGCAGCTGGCCTGGACGCCCGTGGTCGTGCTCAACGGGCTGGCGGCCATTCGCGAGGCGCTGGTGCACCGCGGCGAGGACACCTCCGACCGCCCACGTGTGCCGGTGATGGAGCACCTGGGTTTCGGGCCGCACGCGGAAGGTAAGAGGAGGAGGGGAGGACAGCGGCCCAGCGGGGATGGGGCCCACAGTGACCCGAGACCCGGCAGGGTCTAGTGGCTACAGGGTGGTGGACCTGCGGTGCAGGGAACAGTCAACGAAATTGTAGGGGCGGCAGGTGGAGGAAGGAGTCTGTGCCAAGCAAGAGTTGGGTGGGCGCTGTGGGCGGGGCGTTAAGCGAGTGGGCGGGCCCGGCCATTGGGAGCAGGAAGGGGACGTCCGGGTGGGCGGGAAGGAGGAGAATGGAGTCAGTGTGGGCGGGGTAGGGGGCGGGCCAAGACTTTCCGTGAAAGGGAGCGAGTCGCGGTGGGCAGAGGCAAGAGCAGGATCAAGACCTGTCCCTGTAGGGAGAGCTGGCGAGCAATGTGGGAGGGCAGAGGCTGGGACCTGTCCCCAGCCAGAAGGATATGTAAAGTGGGCGGGATTTGGTGGCAAAGAGAACAAGGTTAGAACGGGCGAAACAGGGGCCAGGCTGTCCGAGCAGGTGCCACGCCTTCACCAAACCGAGCGGCAGAGAAGGGCGGGGAAGGGGGCCCAGATCTGACCTGTAGCAAAGGGGATGGCAGACCAGGCCTTGAGCAGAGTGCGCGCAGAGGCGGGGCCAGGGCACAGCTGAGCCACGCCCACGTCCGCCCCGCCCCCAGGGGTGGTCTTTGCCCGCTATGGGCACACCTGGCGGGAGCAGCGGCGCTTCTCCGTGTCCACCCTGCGCAACTTCGGCCTGGGCAAGAAGTCCCTGGAGCAGTGGGTGACCCAGGAGGCCTCGTACCTCTGTGCCGTCTTCGCCGACCAGGGCGGTGAGTGCTGGGCTGAGGGCCAGGAGACAGGGGTGGAGGCTGTAGAAGAGGAGATGGAAGCGACCCCCTGACCTGCACCGTCCCCTCCCAGGAAGGCCCTTTAGCCCCGACGCCCTCCTGAATAAAGCGGTGAGCAACGTGATCGCCTCCCTGACCTTCGGGCGCCGCTTTGACTACAACGACCCGCACTTCCTTGAGATATTGGACCTAACAGAGGACATACTGAAAGAGCAGTCAGGCTTCCTGCCCCAGGTGAGGGGTGGAGGGGGCCAAGGAGCCCTGCAGGCGAGCTCCGTGGAGGGGGCCTCCGCCCTGCAGTGGGCCCCCGCGGAGGACGATTTGTACAGATGGGTGTTGGGTCAGCGGGCCCAGGAGGGAGCTAAGGAGCCTCTACCTCCTTCAGTGGAAGCATCTGGACCCCCTTAGATGTAGATTTTAGGTTTATCCTCCTGGGACCCAGGCAGGAGAGAGGGTAGAGGTATGGACTTCAGGAGAAGTCAGGTCAATCATGGTGACACCTTGGGAGCGGCTGGGACTTGACTGTCCAAGGTGAACCAATGAGCAGAGGGAGGACCCAGGACCCCACATCTATGGCCTGCACAGGTGCTGAACGCGATCCCCATGCTCCTGCACATCCCGGGGCTGGTCGCCAAGGTCTTTCCTGGGCAGAGGGCCTTCATGGCCCAGTTGGATGAGCTGGTTGCTGAGCGCAGGATGACCCGGGACCCGGCCCAGCCTCCTCGAGACCTGACTGATGCCTTCCTGGACGAGGTGCAGAAGGTGAGCCGCCAGGGACACAGGTGGTGGGTTGAGGGGCCCATGAGGTGAGCTCAGGTAAGATGGGGCCTAATTATCCCCCAGTGATAAGGTATCCAGGCTGATTGGTACAGAGTGGGAGGCCACTGGGGGGCTTCCTCCCCCTTTCCGTGAGCCCACCCTCTCTGCATGGCCCAGGCCAAGGGGAACCCGGAGAGCAGCTTCAATGATGACAACCTGCGCCTGGTGGTGTCTGACCTGTTCGCCGCTGGGATGGTGACCACCTCAACAGCGCTGGCCTGGGCCCTCCTGCTCATGATCCTGCACCCGGATGTGCAGCGTGAGCCCAGCCTTGGGGCCCGGTGGGAAGGGCCGGGGTGGAGGGGGACAGGCTGGGGGCCCTGAGCTTGGTTTGGCCACCAGGAGCTCTGAGCAGAGGCTGGGCCTGGCTCACAGGTCAGAGTGACCTTCTCCTCCATGTGGGCACAGCCCCTGCACAGGAGTCAGGAGGAGGGTGGGGTGCAGCCCCCTGGGTTCTGACGACTGTGGGGACGCTTGTCTGTGCAGGCCGTGTCCAACAGGAGATCGATGAGGTGATAGGGCAGGCGCGGCGACCAGAGATGGGGGACCAGGCCCGCATGCCCTTCACCATGGCCGTGGTCCACGAGGTTCAGCGCTTTGGGGACATCGCCCCAGTGGGCGCGCCCCACATGACGTCCCGTGACATTGAAGTGCAGGGCTTCCTCATTCCCAAGGTAGGCCTGCGGCCCTCCTCAGCCCAGCTCAGCTCCACCTGTCCCCTGGTAGCCCCAGTATGGCCATTGTCAGGTGGGGCCAGGATGGAACCCGAGCCATGTAATTCTCATTTCCATTGGCACCAACCCTCCAGCCTGGGTGGATGTGGGAATAAAGCAGAGGCAGGGTTGGCGGTGTACACTGGGAGCCCAGTTCCAGGGTTGGGGTGTGGGTAAGAAACACTAAAACATGCCTAAGTTTGTTGGAGGAGCCCGTGCATGCAGCACAGGTGGCAGTGAGGGCTTCCATGGGAGGCAGGTCACTTCGCCCTTCCATGGGGACAGAGAGGGTGCCGTGATCTTCTTGGGTGTTATTGACTTGAAAGAGTCCAGGTGTGTGCCAGGCAGATAGTGTGGCCCATGTGTGTTTCGTGGCAGGGTTCAGGGAGTCACCTACCCCAGACCCCACTCATGCCAGGCATCTCCTGCCAGGGCACCACGCTCATCCCCAACCTGTCATCGGTGCTGAAGGACGAGACCGTCTGGAAGAAGCCCTTCCGCTTCCACCCCGAGCACTTCCTGGACGCCCAGGGCCGCTTCGTCAAGCAGGAGGCCTTCATGCCCTTCTCAGCAGGTGCCTGTGGGGAGCCCGGCTCGCTGCCCCTCCTGGGGAGTCTTGGAGGCGTGGAGCCCAGGCCCCCAGGCTCGCTGACCCCCATCCCCACCCACAGGCCGCCGCTCGTGCCTCGGGGAGCCCCTGGCCCGCATGGAGCTCTTCCTCTTCTTCACCTGCCTCCTGCAGCGCTTCAGCTTCTCGGTGCCCGCTGGGCAGCCCCGCCCCAGCGACCACGGTGTCTTTGGCACCCTGGTCTCCCCGTCCCCCTACCAGCTCTGTGCTGAGCCCCGCTAGAGGAGGGCAGCAAGCCCCCAACCGTGTCCTTCACGGGGGACCTGATGTCCAATAAACCATTCTGATGGCTCCAACCTGGCTTGAGTCCCACCTGAGCCTCCTGAACAGCACCCTGGGAGTGATGTGGCCTCAGCAGCCTCCTCAGGATCAGGTCCTATGCCTTCCTGATCCAGCGTTACTTGGCATTTGACCCCATTTCAGAGATGGGTATACTGAGACTCAGAAGGTGACAGCTTGCCCCCCAGTCACCCAGGCAGACCTAACACTGGCTGCCCTGGTTGGTGACTAAGTCCATGTAGGTCTTGACTCCTGCGTGTGAGGGGACAGGTGGAGTGTGAATGGGCTTCTGATGGAATCAGCCCAATCCCCAATCTCTGGCTGGGGGAGTGCCCTCAGGATCAGGGATTCACTGCAAGGACTCCCGGGAGTCAGAACAGCTGTTATACTCACGGTTATGGTTTTCCAGGGAAAGGATCCAGACAGAATCAGCAGTGGTCAAAAGCACATGGGCGGAGTTCAGGAAGAGCAGGCACAAGCTTCCAGCTGTTGCTCTGAGGATTCATGCAGACAGTGCTCAGTTCTGCCAGCAGTGATGTGTGACACAAGCAGAGAGTTTGCTCGCCAGAGAGTCTCCCCCAAGTCTGGGTGTCCAGGGATTTTGTTGAAAGTCAGTCACTTAGACTCGGAGAGCCCCATGGCTGACCTCAGTTACTCAGTCCCCTCTCAAGGTCCAACAGTGTGGCCCAAGGCCCCCACCATGAAGCACATTGTTGGCAGACACTGTGTGGTGTGACTAAGCCCAAGGTACAAAGACACTCTCATCCCAAGCAGGTAGGGCATGCTTCCCAGCAGCTGGTCAAGGGCCAGGCAGTTTTTTGGAATGCACAGGGATTGTAACCCTGAAAACTACTGAGTAAACTTTTTACTGCACTGCCCACCCTGCTGGTTTTTGACTCTTACAGAAAAATGGTCATATTTGTTTGAGTATCTACATTTTGTTAGTGCGTGGTGGGGGGCAACACACAACATAATATTTACCATCTCCATCATTTTTGAGTGTGCAGTTCAATGCTTTAAGTTCTCATATTGTTGTGCAACCATCACACCATCCATCCCAGAACACTTTTCATCCTGCAAAACTGAAACTCTGTCCCTGTTAGACAATAGCACCCCATGCCCCCTCCCCATAGCCCCGGCAGCCGACGTTATCCTTTCTGTCTCCGTGAATTTGACTACTCTAGAGACCTCCCATCAGTGGAATCCTACAGTATTTGTCTCTTTGTGACTGACTTATTTCACTAAGCATGATGCCCTCAGGTTCATCGATGTTGTGGAGTGTCTCAGTATTTCCTTCCTTTTTCGGGCTGAATAATACTCCATTGTATGTATAGACCACATTTTCCTTATCTTTTCATCTGTCATTGAACACTTGGGCTGCTTCTGCCTTGTAGCTATTGTGAATAATGCTTCAGTGAACATAGGTACAAATGTGTCTTTGACACTCTGCTTTCAATTTTCAATAGATAACCACTGAATTGCTTTCCACAGGAGCTGTACCATTTTACACTCCCACCAGTGGTGCACCACGGTTCCGATACTCCACGTCCTAGCCCGAACCATTTCCTGTTTTGATGCTAGTAGGCATTCTAATGGGTGAGAAGTGATATCTCACTGTGGTTTTGATTTGCATCTCCCAAATGATGAGTGATGTTGGGCATCTTTTCATGTGCTTCTTGTCCATTTATGTATCTTCTTTGAAGAAATGTCTATTCAACTCCTTTGCCCATTTTAAAGTTAGGTTGGGTATTTTGTTCTTGTAGTTGTTTTTGAGTTTTAGAAGGTCTCTGTGTATTCTAGATACTAATCTCTTACCAGATATAGTCGTGTGCCGCATAGCGATGTGTCGGTCAACAGCAGACCACAGGTCTGATGGTGGTCCATAAAATTAGTACCATACAACCTAGGTGTGCCATAGGCTACACTATCTGGGTTTCTGTAAGTACATTCTGTGATGTTCACACAACAACAAAATTGCCTATCAACACATCTCAGAACCTGTTCTCCTTCTTAAGCAGGGCATGTCTGCGAAACATTTGCAAATATTTTCTCCCATTCCATAGGTTGGCTTTTCATCCTGTTGATGGTATCTTTTGATGTGAAAAATTTTTAATTTTGATGAAGTCCAACTTGTCTACTTTTTCTTTCGTTACCTTCGCCTTTGGTGCCATATCCGTATGTCATATCCATATCTCACTTTTGAGAACATTTTGTCCTATGTTTTCTTCTAAGAATTTTCTAGTTTTAACTCTTACATTCAAGTCTTTGATCCATTTTGAATTAATTTTTGTATGTGGTGCTGGGTGAAGGTCCAACTTCTTCTTTTGCGTTAAGATACCCAGATTTCCCAGCAACATTTGTTGAAAAGACTGTCCTTTCCCCATTGAATGATGTTGGTGCCCTGTGTCGAAATCGTTGGACTGTGGATGAGGGTAGGTTTCTGGTCCTTCTATTCTCTTCCGTTGGTCTGTGTCTCTGTCTTTATGCTGCTACCACAGTGTGTTGATTACTGTAGCATTGTAGTAATTTTTGAAATCAGGAAGTATGAGTTTTATTCTTCCTTTTCAAGATTGTTTTGGCTATTTGGGGTCCCTTGAGATTCCATATGAATTTTGGGATCAAGTTTATATTTCCGCAAAAATGTCATTGGGATTTAGATAGGGATGGCATTAAATCTGAAGATCACGTTGAGTGGTCTGGATGTCTCTCCCATATTCAGTCTTCCAATCCATGGATATAGGATGTCTTTCCATTTACTTGTGTCTTCTTTAACATCCTTCAGCAGTGTTTTGTGGTTTTCATGGTAAAGTCTTTCACCTCTTTGGTTAAGTTAATTCCTAAGTATTTTATTTTTTTGATGCTATTGTAAATCAAAGTGTTCTCTTAATTTCATTTTTGGATTGTTCTTTGTTAGTGTAGAGAAATACAGCTGATTGTTGTGCATTGATTTTCTATCCTGCTACTTTGCTGAATTTGTAAGTTCTAACATGATTCTTTGCTGAATCTTTAGTTTTTTCTACATACCATCTCATATCATCCGCGAACAAAGATAGTGTCAGTTCTTATTTTCCAGTTTGGATGCCTTTTATTTCTTTTCCTTTCCTAGTTGCCCTGGCTATGACCTTCAGAGCTCTGATGAATGGAAGCAGCAAAAGTGACCATCTTTTCTTTATTCCTAATGTTAAAGGAAAGGTTTTTAGTTTTTACAATTCGCTATCATGCTTGCTGTGGGTTTTTCATATATGGCTTTTGTTATGTTGAGGTAGTTTCCTTGTTTTCCTAGTTTGTTGAGTGTTGTTAACACGAAAGTGTGTTGAATTTTGTCAAATTCATTTTCTCCGTCAATCGAGATGATCATGTAGTTTTTGTTCTTCATTCTGCTAATGTGGTGTATAACATTGACCAGTTCTCGTATGTTGAAACTTTCTTGAATCCATTAATATACCCCACCTGGACATACTCCTTTCCCACCTGTATAATCCTTTTAGTAGGCTGCTCAATTTGGTTTGCTAATATGTTCTTGAGGATTTTTTCGTCAATGTTCATATGGGATATAGGTCTGTCATTTTCTTTTCTTGTAGTGTCTTTCTCTGGCTTTGAAATCAGGGTGATGCTGGCCCCATTGAATGGGTTCAGAAGTGTTCCCTCCTCTTCCATTTTGTGGAAATGTTTGACTAGGATTGGTGTTAGTTCTTCTTTAAATGTTTGGTAGAATTCAATAGTGAAGCCATCAGGTCAAGGGCATTTCTTTTTGGGGAGATTTTTTATTACTTATTCAATCTCCTTATTAATTAAAGGTCTATTCAGATTTTGTATTTCTTTATGATTCATTCCTGGTAGCTTGTCTGTTTCTAGAATTTGTCCATTTCATCAACAGGTTATTCAATTTGTTCGCATATAGTTGTTCACAGTACTCTCTTATGATGCTATATTTTGGTGGAAAAAGTAGTAATGTGCCCAGTTTCAATTCGGACGTTAGTAATTTGAGTTTTCTCTCTTTTTTTCCTTAGTCCCTCTAGCTAAAGGGTTGTCAGTTTTGAACTTCTTGAAGAGCCAACTTTTGGTTTAATTGGTTTTCTCTATTATTCGTCTAGTCTCCATTTCCTTTATCTCTGCTCTATAACATTCCCTTCATTCTGCTCCCTTTGAGTTTAGGTCGCTCTTCCTTTTCTAGTTCTTTGAGATGTAGAGCTAGGAAATTGATTTGCTATCTGTAATAATGTAGCCATTTACAATTAGAGACTTCCCTCTGAACAGGACTTTTGCTGGATTCCATAAGTTTTGGTATATTGTGTTATCGTTTTCATTCATTTCAAGCTATTCCGCTTTCTCTTATGATTTCTTCTTTGACCCATTGCTTGTTTATGAATGTGTTGTTTAATTTCCACGTATTTGTGAATTTTCTAGTTTTTCTTCTGTTATTATTTCTAGGCTGTGGTGGACGAATACCCTGATCACTATGAAGCCAATCCAGAAATGCAGATCAGCCACTTCATCTGGAAAGTTCCACATGGCACTTAAAGGAGGGAAGGAAAAATCCCCCTTCTCAGTTTAAAGAGAACTTTTCATTAGTTTCCTCATTTTGCCCTACTCCATCTTGGACTATGTTCTTGGTGACCAGAGGCATTACAGGTGCTTTCTGTTGTCCCAACATAATTTTCCCCTTTGGGAACATCCCTGACACAAATGGCCACAACTCGCACCAGATGAGACCCAAGCTCGGTGCAGTGTCAGCATGTAGCCTCACCCTCTGTTTTATTTTCATTTCAGCTAATTACATAGAGCATTACCATAGGATTGTATATTCGCTTCTTTTGGAGGGTTGCGGGGTTTTTTGCCTTTTTTTTTTTTTTTCTTTTTTGCATTTCCTTACACATGCAGTGAGCTAACCCCTCCAAGGTTGTGCCCTCTATCATGTCAATTCCAGAGGTAACTTTTCCCTCCAGTAACTGACCACAATGCAGCTGTGCGTCATGCTACAGTCATGCAATAACCATTCGGCTGAAGGTTCATCAAC